GAAGCCAGTCCTGACAGATGAGCGCGAGGAAAATGTTGGAGAGAATGAAAACCTTCAAGTAAATTGTAACTTTCTGAGTTTTTCAGGGAAATTAACAGAGACAGTAGTCAAAAACTATCATTCTTGGTAAGCAATGGAAGCTTGTGTGCAAATGAGAGCAAAGAGTATGTGTTGGGGAGTCAACTAGTGAGGAATACAGAATGACAGTAAAATCTTTAAGAGGGAGAAAAATGGGTGAAGGGATAGACAGGAGATCTGAAAATACAGAGGCTGAGTTCTGTTCATGGAAAGTGAATCTGTGTTCAGCTAGTTGTTTACGTGGTAAGAATTCCAAATAGAACCAGAGGAACTGTTGTTGTGTCTCTGTGTTTGTAGCTGAGTGCTTTTTTCTTTCAATGCCATTACAAAACGCTCCTTGCAGACAGCCTGTGGGCTGAAGGTGTAATCCAGGTATTAGAGCTGAAAAGCAGATCAGAAGATCTGCTGGGTTCTCTGTACTGTATTATGTTGCTTTTACGCCTGGCGAGACTTTTGTCATGCGTGTTTCAAAAACATGGTTACAGAATATTTGAAAAGTGTACCTGTAATAGATGCTTATGCTTGTTTCCTGCACAGGTATAGTTGGAGAAGCAGATGAAAATGGAGAGGATTATTACCTTTGGACTTACAAAAAACTTGAAATTGGTTACAACGGAAACAGAATTGTAGATGTCAATCTGACCAGTGAAGGAAAGGTGAAATTGGTACCAAACACAAAAATCCAGATGTCATATTCAGTAAGTAATTTGGTGATGCATCTGCAATTAGAAATTCTACATGGTGAAATAGCTCAAAAATAGGTACTTGTCTACCTACAGCTGTGTATTGATACGTCAGGCTGCATTAGAGGAACACACATCTTCACTCCTTCAAATATTTCTTTTTCATTACTGAAAAACCTTAATAGGTTTATTCAGGATGAATGTAAAATGGTTTTTTGAAACGCTTCAAAGAAACTGAAGCTTCTATAATCTGCAGAGAAGTGTTTTGGTGGGAAAGGAAGATGTCCCCAGAGGTATGGAGACTAGAAGTAGAGAGGACCCCCGGTAGGTATGCACTTACTTAATGCTTGGAGCTCTGACCTTTGCACCTCAGATTTGAGCTGGATTCTGAGCTAGGACCAGAACCCACTGTAAGCCTTCATGCTTTGCAAGCAGTTAGTATCAAAGCTCGTTTTGGTTTTGCACTTCCAGCAGAAATTAGTCTCATTTATATAACCTTATTAGAAAGGTTTTCTCTGAAGCCCTCTGCTATTAGGTTGAATTGCTATGATAAAAGCTAATGAGTAAACAAAGTTTGCTGATCAGAGATAACAAATTTTTCTATTTTCCTGCTTATTTATATGTTACTTAAATCTGTAAAGGTTCACTTTTCATTCACCACATTTGCATACTGAAACTAGTTCCTAATGCATTGCTTTTCTACAGTGTGCGAGCAGTAGGTGTCAGCAGAAGATTTTATTTCAGAGGATGCTCTTGCCGCTATTACATTTGTCTTGTGCTGAATAAATTATATAGTTTGAAGCACAGATAATTGGTTTTTATGTGTGCTTTTGAGAGTTACATTTACACTAATCTTCCTATTTCTACTGCAAAATTGATAGTAGAAATTTTGAAATTTTCTATTTCAAACTCCACCAGCATTGAAAGTCTATCGACTCTGTGTGTTTTGAGGTGGACAGCACTGAGTAGCTACCAGTAATGAAAATAGCGTTAGATGTTCCCTTAAAGTACTTCTCACGTACAGCGCTCGAGACTCACCTATCCAGTGTTGCTGGCACCCTGGGCAATTGCTGGGCTGGTGCATGGGTGGTGTTTGGGTCCTACATTGTCTCTGGTTGATTTGTTCTCAGCAGTGCTTCTTAGTGGTGGATGCTCTAATGAGAAACGTATCTGCCTAAAACAGTGTTGAAAGCTATTCATGTTTTGAGCTGCTGGACTTGAACAAGGTTGTAATTTGAACCGAAGAGTGTTAATGTCATTCCTCGAAGTGGGTAATACTGGAGTCTTGGGGTTTTTCATACGTCTCAGGACTGTGGTGACCAATGGGGTATTCAATCTACTTTTATACGCTTTCTTCTATACTGAAGAAGAGAACATCTGTTGGGAAGGATAGTTCCTTGTCATGTAGTTTAAAAAAATATGCACAAGGGGGCTGCATTCGTTTTAAGATCACCAAGTCCTGATATTTCCTAATCTTCGAATGATTTTGAAAAAAATTTAGTGTAGATTTGTGTTTAATTTATGAAATTGCAAATGCAAGGTGGCTGAAGTTCCTTCTGTGTCTGACCTGCAGATGTCGGGCTTTAAGAATATCAGTCCATTATTTTTGCCAAATCCTAGATTCAGATTGAAGAAAACATCTGAAGTGGATGAATTTTAAAATATGTTCTGGGTTTCTGCATGTGGGTGTAGCTGGACATATTATAATGAGCTTTTCAAGTGTAAATTTTTCTCCCTTTAGGTGAAATGGAAGAAATCAGATGTGAAGTTTGAAGACCGCTTCGACAAGTATCTTGACCCATCTTTCTTTCAGCACAGAGTATGTATTGGTTTAAGACAACCGTACAAAATATCCCTTCAAAATGGTTGCTGTAGCTCAGAAGATGTCATGGAATTTTTGGATGACATCTTTGAATTTTTGGATGTCCCCTGTGTCCTGAAACAGGCACGTCTGGAACTGTAGGTTTGAAGTGTAGCTCAAGTAGGATGGCTCCAGTTTGTTCGCGTGCTCCAGTAAATGTGCAGGCAAGCTGCAAGCCTGCAGCAAATACGGGGCAGCTCAAGAAAATATATTCGCATGATTGGAAGCAGGGAAGTTTCAGTGACACAACTGTACTACTTGTAAGCTGAGGAATTGCAGTTGGCCATATGCACACTGTTTACTCATGTAAATACAAAGCAAAAAGCATTAGCGTAAACCAGTTAGCGAGAACCGTTGTGGTGGTTTAAACCTGTGGCTGTAATCTCCTTAAGGGTGGTGTACTGAGCTATGCCACTGTCTGAAATCAGAGGGTTTGGGCTCTGTGGAACTCGGTGAAGACCAGAAGACGTGCTTGTCAAAGGGAAAGTCGAGCCGCTGCACACTTTGGTCCTGTGCAAAGCAATGGTTCCTTTGGCTTTTTGGCTGCGAGCGTCCCTCTTGCTGCTTAGACCTGTTCTCTAGGGAGGCAGCAGCATGTCGTGTTGCCTTTCCTGTGCCGAGGGAGCACGTGCAGCCAGTCGTTCGAGCTTTGCTGTGCTTAGCTGAGCTGTGATAACTTCACTGTGAGCAAGCCTGGCTGCTGAGAAGCTTTCTGCATGGTGTTTCACGGGCCAGTCTTAGTAGGACTTTCTACAAGTGCGGTGTTACCTACAGGATGGGGCCAAGCTCTTTTCAGTGGTGCCCAGTGACAGGACAAGGGCCAATGGGCACAAACTGAGGCACAGGAAGTTCCGTCTGAACATGAGGAAGAACTTCTTCCCTCTGAGGGTGACGGAGCCCTGGCCCAGGCTGCCCAGGGAGGTTGTGGAGTCTCCTTCTCTGGAGATATTCAAGACCCACCTGGACAAGATCCTGTGCAGCCTACTGTAGGTGACCCTGCTTCGGCAGGGGGGTTGGACTAGATGACCCACAGAGGTCCCTTCCAAACCCTATTATTCTGTGATTCTGTGATTCTATGGGTTTATTGTTACTTAGCTAGTGCTGACAAGCTGTCCTGCTAGGCAATGATTCATCCTTGTTGGAACAAAGTTGGAACACATTTACAGCTCTAAACATTAGGGATGTGTTTTCTTTTTGTAGATTCACTGGTTTTCAATTTTCAATTCTTTTATGATGGTGATCTTTCTGGTTGGCCTAGTGTCTATGATATTAATGAGAACTTTGCGAAAAGATTATGCAAGATACAGCAAGGAGGAAGAAATGGATGATATGGTAAGATCCGCATTCGTGCTTTTTTAAATACCTTTTTTTTTAAGGCTTATTGTTTTCATACATTCATTGTGTTAGCAGCTCTGAATGGCTTTCTCCAGTTGGACAGAAAACTGCCACACTGTCCTGAAAGTTTTCTTTACAGCATGCTCCTAGGTTGCAACCCAGACTTCTGTCTGCAGTCACGGTGTTAATAATGTTCATATCCACACGGGTTAAACACCTTCCATTCAGAGTGTGTGACAGAAGCCTGCGTATACTCCTGAGTGCTTCGGAGGATTTTAGGGACAGGGAGGGAACCTGATAGATGTTACTGCATCGCACGTTCAGGTTGTCATTTTTGTTGTCTTCATACCCATCTGAAAAGTAAACTTTTCTCTTGGATTTGATGCAGTCAGGAGAGAAGACATACTTGCACTTGAAGTTGCTTTAATAAATCAGACCTTTAATTTGTGTGTTACATGGCAAGCGTTAAGCTTGTGTGTTTGTCATTAATTGTCATGACCAGACTTAACCTTCTTTTGTTGTTGTTCCTAGGACAGAGATCTAGGCGATGAGTACGGGTGGAAGCAGGTCCACGGAGATGTGTTTAGACCATCCAGTCATCCTCTAATATTTTCATCGCTTATTGGTTCTGGTTGTCAAATTTTTGCTGTGTCTCTGATAGTCATTGTTGTTGCAATGATAGAAGATTTATACACAGAGTAAGTATACTTGTGCCCTGCCTTCTGCATATAAATGCTTAAATGAACAAAATAATTACAAAAATGAATGTTCTAGCTGGCCTGGAAAAAAGCATTTGAGAGTTTTTAGTCTTTGTCTTTAGATCAGATGTGGTATTCAGAAGGGCTCTTGTAAGTTGTCACGAAACTTTGTCCTACACTTACCAGGTGAGTTTCTCTCCTTCAGTTTTACTCTTTCATTGCTTGCTTTTTACGTGATATATTACGAAATTAGTTTGTTGGTCTGCACTGTCACGGGAAGGTTATATACGAAATAAATGTTGAAAGGTACACATTTCACTCCTGGTTTCATCTGGAGTGACAAGACATGACTGTGTCTCTCGCCCTGTTATCCCCACCGTGTCCCGTAGAGACCGAAGCAGGAGTGTGCGGGGCTGTGGACAGCCCTGTTTGCTGCTGACAGTGCATTCTGCCAGTCTGACCCACAAGGCTGCTCGGGAACGGAGGTTTAATTTCTGGAGTTCTTGTGAACGGATGCTGCTCGGCCTGTGCTGCGTGTAGACCTTCTAGCAGCAGCGGGGCTCTGGGCTTGACTGGGGAGAGTGCGTTTTAACACGAACAAATAGTACTCGAGTGTAAATTTAACACACCACTCGTGGTTCACCTGGCTCTCTACCTGGCATCTGTTTGAGATTTTTGCTGTTGTGGAAGGACTTCACCTGTTTCAGTAATGATCGTATTTTGGATACTGGGGGGATTTTTTTTGTTTAATACAAGTGCTTTGTTTTCAGCAATGACTGAAATTTCAAATCTCTCTTCTCCTTCACTTGCCTATTGCCTGTAACTATTGATTTTAACAAGCTGTCATACTGCTAATGTGCCGCTGGAGAGAGCTCTTGGGTTTGAATTTAGCTGCCCTTTAACGGTGTGTTTACAAAGCCACCCCGTAGCACCAGCAGCTTGGCATACCTTCATTTTTCATACGGTGTGATTCCCCCTTGTGCCCTGTAGTTACATTTCTGGGTACACTTACATACACATTTTTAATTGTATGGCAGGTGAGCCCTTTAAGGGAGGGAACGCAACCATTTCAGAACGTTTATGCGCTGTAGGGAAGCTGTAAGTTAGTAATGACAACTGTAAAATGTGTCAAAACAGTAATTTGTAAAAATATATGTGCAGTTAGTCTTTTATTGCAATAGGCCTTTCTGTCACTTTCAAAGGGATTTGAATTCTGGGTATGGAACGGAACAATTGACCAAAGATGGTGCAGATAATCCTTATGTTTAGGAAAATAGTGATGTGAGTGAAAAAGGCTGTAAAGCAGAGTCAGAAGAGTGACCGCCTGTCCTTCAGGGCTGTTCAGGCCCCTGGGCATCATGCAGCTGATGCCAGCTAAAAGGCTCTCGGTGAAACCTGGTCACATCAGCTATTCATTTATTAATACTGGTTTGTGTTTTGAGAAGCTTTTCCATTAGAATATTTGAAACAGAAGTAAGCTGAAGAACAGGAGACTCTGAGATCATGGTAGATGACCATCTGCTGGTTGTTTTACAGGTAGCCTGGGTTTACATGTGCCACTTCAGACTGTGCGTGGTCATCTGGGGCTTTGTGTGTGTTTCGGAATGGTCTTAAGTTAGGAGGAATGTTACAATTGGTTCCAGTCTAACCAGTAGCTTTCTAAAATGGAACTAGAGCTTTTGTTTTTTTGAGAAGGGAATGTTAGCATAACACTCCTTTGGTGTGTGTGACCAGCAGGCATATTTGCTCAGTTCAAGCCATGCAGGCATAGAAGCCGGTTGTACTGAGGGTTCCTTCTCTGAGTAAGGCAGGCATCCAGCAATGGCTCACAAAAACCCAAAATGCCACTAGTCTGGATTCTCTCAGAACAGCTAATCTGAAGAAAGTGCCACAGGCTGGCTGAAAAGCTTCTGCTGCTCTTCCTATCGGGGAGTAGCAGAGGGACGTGGGAGACGGCTCTACTCATGGATAACATCTGTGTCTTGCTGTTCTTAGACATGATTTTTAAAAATGTGTTTGGAGATGGCTTTTGTGATTTAAAATTATTAGCTTTGCATGTAAAATTTCAGAAAAAATATGCCAAAATGAGTACCCCAACATTTAATGAAGTGATAATTTAAAAATGGCTAAACTCTTCTGATTGGACTATTCCATGCTGATTTGTGGCGATAGTTTCTAAATCAGGTTTTCAAATTTTCTGGAAGATGAACACTTTCAATCTTAAAAGTTAATTTCTGGCGGATGGCAGAAACATCATTCACAGTCCTGGTCTATCTTTGTGAACACTGGCCTTAATATTAAATAAAGAGGACCTTCCATCTGTAGTAGTGGAATCTGACACTTAATGTATGTCATGTAAACAGTTCTTTATACACAAGGCACACGCATCCAAATGTCAGAGTGTTTTGATCAGAGGTGAGATTCTGTACTCTAGTGAAAATAAATGTATGTTAGAAAAGAATGTAATATGTCAGAACTCTGTTTCCCAGGCTGCATTAGACTTGGCCAGAAGCTTTGGGTACAAACAGTTGTCATGTAGATTTTACAATTTAAGCACTTCAAAATTTTTACATTATCTAAAAACGTTCAATAACTGCTTCTGCTGAATGTGCATATTTTACTGTAATCAGTTGCTGTAATACTGTTTGTTTTTCTATTTCATTTACCAAAAAAATCACTTCTTGTAGGAGAGGATCAATGCTTAGTACAGCTATATTTGTTTATGCTGCAACGTCGCCAGTGAATGGATATTTTGGAGGAAGTCTTTATGCTAGACAAGGAGGTAAATTGTTTTTGTGTTTCAGCATTTTCATTACCTTGTTAAACGGAGCAGTTGTTATTCTCTGATTTGCACCAATGTAGAAGTGTCTTCGTGGCATTAAGGCATTCAGGTGGAATCTGTTAAGTTCTCGATAAACACAAATTATTTTGAGTATGTTTAACTTTCGTATTATTTCCTGTTCAGTACTGGCTGCATTTTCTAACTAAAGATGAATTCTTTGGTTAATTTAAAGTAGTAAGAGCTGAAAAACTGTTAACAGTTGTGTCTTATGAATTGCTTGTTACACTCATGTGTGTAATCGTTTGGCTCATGACATCCAGAGAGTGTCATCGTCTCTCCCTCTCGTGTAACGCGCTGTTGCACAGCTGACGTCACCTTCTCCAGATGACCCCTCTGTAGGTACCGGGGGGTTATGTTTACTAACACGGATGGGGTGGCTATACAGTACTTGCTAGACCATTAATTGCGGATGGGGAAAACTGTTTACAGCATCTTTTAAAGAAGGTTATTCTGCTTTCCGGTATGTGCTCTGCTTTGTACTTAGCAAATTCAAAATGAGTGTCAGTGGAGAGCAGAAGCCCAATAAAATTGATGTAGGAGGTTTGGACAGGCTGTCTTCGAGTGCTCCCTGCTATGCCTCTGAGTTATGGCCAATTACATCCTTGCAGTCCACTAGCTTCGTCCGTTCCCTCTGCTGCAATAAAAGAGTAATCAATAGCTATTATCTTCTGCAGTGCTTTAGGAAAAATAATTCTGGTAAGTTCGCGAAAGAAAATTCGTATCTTTTTAGCACCATATACTTGTTAGCATTCAGTCTCAGCTGCCCTCTAAGCTACTCTGAGTCTGAGGGCTAGATGTTTCTCTGCGAGTGGCTTGTGTATGAGCCTAGCCATTTGTAGAAAAGCAGCTCTGGGTAAATGAAGGTTTCTGTTCTAAGATGTACTGTGCTGTATAGTTGAGCCAGATTCACTTTTTCTTCCTACAGATCAAACATGTACCAACCGTGACATGCTGATTATGTTGGCTCACGGTGAAAATATGTACGATGGTCTTGAAAACCAGATGCTGGTTTTCTGACTGGTTTGTGTTTAGTGCCTATTACGGATGCATCTGTGGAGTATTAAATTTAAATATAGACTGTATTTAAGAGCACAGAAAGTAAAGGGAATACAGACAGTGAAAATTCTTAAGGAATTACCCAAGAGGATTTTTTTTGGCTTCTCAAGGAGTTCTAAACTTCGTAGTAACTGCTAACAAGTGTTGCTCTTCCCCTCGTGCCTGGGGTTTGGAAGTCGCTTGTCTCCTACCTTTTCTGCTGTCGAAGCTGTCAGAGTTCAGTTTTGCTGTATACGAAATGCTGTGGCATTTTGCTTTAGACCAGGGATAGCCAGTTCCTGAGTGCATCCCAGGTGTCCGGAGGTGGCTTAGCAGGGTCAGGACAGCCCGGAGCCAGTACTGCTGGCGAGCCGCTGTCGGAGTTGTCCTGGGAGCAGTGCCGAGCTCTGGTGTGCTCGCAGCGCAGGGCCACCTCTGCGCTCTCTGTCTCGGCTCATCCGCAGCTTGCACGCACCCGCTGGCGGTTCATACACTGCGTTCTTCGGCCAGCTCAGTCAGCATGTGCTGCTCTTCAGCTGGAGTGTTCTCATGCTGTATCCCTGTTCTCCTGGCCTAATAAATTGGTTCGTGTGCCGCGTCTTGTGAGTTGCCAGGAGTCGAGTGAAACTGTTAGTTGACTCTTGGCTCTTGTATCGATGTCGTTACTTATTTCTTTCACCTTTTTGGGGGAGAAGTTGTCAAACACCTAAATTCTGGAGAGCTTGCTGAGAACTTTTTAAACAAAATGCCCTGCATCTCACCATTCCCGTTGGAATGTCCCTTCTTGCAGGAAGGCGATGGATAAAGCAGATGTTCATTGGAGCCTTCCTTATTCCAGCGATGGTGTGTGGAACTGCCTTCTTCATTAACTTCATTGCCATCTATTACCACGCTTCAAGAGCTATACCTTTTGGAACCATGGTGAGTGATTTTACTGGAGAATTCAAACACCGCTGTAGGCACGGGAAAGCTACGTTTCAGTTTGAATACAATTGTGAGTCGTAGCTTTAGCTTCCTAGTTAGAAATTTATTCTGGGAGGGGTTTAAGGTGCTTCAAGTATGATTCATTTTAATCCTATGGCAGCAGCTGCTGGATGCCCACAACAGTCTTCTCTCTACTTAAAATGACCCTGCTGCTTTGCACTTAGTGTTGTAACAACATGGGAAGTTAGCAGCTTGAATTTTCTTCTGGATGGCCAGTGCAAACTAATTATAAACTAAATTGCAATGCAAAAGGATTCCAAGTTAAAGCTATTTCCAAATCATTGCAGTCAAGCAGAAAAAATAAAAGATCAGGCAACAATATGAGATGTCCTGAAGACATCTGGCTTTATGAAAATGAATCACTGTTTTCACTTTGTGAGGTGGTATTTAGTACCCAGTTATGGTCTTATGTCTGTATATTAGCCATGTCAGTTGAAAAAACAATGCTGTTTGGGTTACTTTCCCATTTAATCATGATGACTTCTCTTGTTTCTGTGGTTTTTGTCAGGATTTTGTTCGTTATGGCCCTTTCAAGCAACCTCAAGTAACGCTGTGAATACAATGTAGGAAATAATCACTCGGCACTTTGGCAGAGTTTCTGTTTGAGCTTGCAAGGGATGTTATTAGAGAGCAGAATTTTCTGAAGTATGCACAATAAAATTGCTTTTTCTAATTTTGTGTAGTAGCGCTGTTAAATATCTGAATACAGAAAGGCTTGTTTTCTTTTCAATATCTGTAGTAAATCTGGGATTTAACATTTTTTTAATAGCTTCCTTCTTTGCATATCGTCTTAAATTATTCAGTCTGTTCAGAGATGTTTGAGTAGCCTTGGATTTCTTCTTAGCTTAAATCTACCATAAAATGAAGCTTGGTATCACACGCTCTGTCTTAGAAATTGTATTATTTGGGATGTAATCAAATTCAGTATGTGACTGACCGTACTTCTTAAGAACACATTGTTAATGAGTGAATGTGCTGGAAATCATACGTGGTAATGAGAGACAATTCTCAGTTTCAGGCAAAGGCTTTCAACAGTTTTTGCTGAGAGAGAAGTCATTGCTTTACATGTACATTGATGGTTCTAGTCATCTCCTTATTAGCAGTACTTTCAGTGCATGCCTAAATACCAACTTTTTACATTGACTTTATTGTTATAAAACCCCTAAATATAATATCAAACTAAATGTGTTTATAAACTGTTCACTTAATTTTTCTGGTTTTCTTCTTCCAGAAATTAGACTCAAATTCTATCTTTGGATATGTTTGTATTAGTTGGTCAGTGCCCCGAAGGAATATTGTATTGTTTTTTCTTTCCTGAGCTAGCAGACATATACGGTACTGTCACCAAAGTTTACGACATTAATCTTTCATGTGCAAAGAGGCTCTGTTTTACTGCTGAACAAGCATTTATGATACCACATCTCTCACTTGTATTCCCATTTGGAGGTCAGGAATGCTGGGGGAAGAGAGTTCCACCTGTGCTGAAGTTTGCCTTGTAAATCTGTTCAACTGATTTGTATTTTAAGATCATGGAAACATGTGCATGCAAAAGCAAATGGGAATATAAATCTTCAGGGGTCACTTAACCAGGATGTTAGGACTCTTTATACACAGTGATTTTAATGATCTCAAGGTTTTATGAAAGTATTTGAATCATTATGACTGGCAATAAAACTTCAGTGGAGTTAGCAGACTTCTTGTAGGAGCAGGTTATGAATCGGAAACTTAATCAGAGTAAGTAACGCTCTAATGACTTCAAATCAACTAATAAAGCTGGTTTGTAGAAGGAAATGAAAATTGTTTGAAATTCCCATGTTGTGCTTCAGGTTGAAGTCCCCAGCGAGCCCTCTGGCTTTGTGCATAGAGATACCTTTGTGCCTTTCCACCTTTGTTCTCAGTGGAGAGAAGCTTCCAGCTGCTGCTTTCGTGGGGAAATAAAACCTCTGCCATCTAAATCTACTAGAACACAGAGATTACTTCCTTTCCCCTGGCATGTCTTGAAACCACCCTCCTCTATTTAAATCGCTGGCAAGATTTAGCACCTCTTCTTGACTACTGTAAATCTGGAAAATGCAGAAACCGAGTTGCTGAAGAAAGCCTCTGAGCTCAGAGGTTGCCAGGAGACTATGCTTGAATATGAGGTCCTGTGCTTTGCCCGTTGTGCATTGCTGCTTCCCTGTGAGCTGCTGGGCAGTCTTCTCTCTGCAACTTCATTCTTCCCTCCAGACAGCTTTCTCTGTGGAGTGTAGGCAGGGGCAGCTGATAGTGTCAAAGCCGAGACATTCGAGCTACCGCACAGTCACTTCATCTTCGATCAGCCTAGCACCGGCGCTTCTACACTTCGTCTTGCATTGCTCGAATTGATTGGGCTCTTTGGCACCTTCATGCACCTCGCTGTCACTGCAGGCTGCTTTGAACTTAAAAGCTTTGTTCGCCTGGTGTCCCTCATTCCTGATGCCTGGGATCTCCTCGGAGGTGTGGTGGGGACGGGAAAGATGCGAGGCTGGTTTCTACAATTGTTCCTTGGTCTCGGGACTCTGCCTTTAGCCCTGTGGGTATACCTGCTAGCCGTCTGACCTAGGCTGCGACGAACCTGCTGCGGTGGAGTACACCGTGAGCCTGACCAAGGCTGCATCCCTTCCCTGGGCCATCTTTCTGCTGCGCTTCCCTTCCAGATGCAGTAAGGAATGAATGGGATAGGTTTTATTCAAATATGAGAGCTTTTTAAGGTTTAAAGCTTTCAACTCTCTAAGCATATGAAGGAGATACAAAAGTCTTTAGGGCTTTTTCTCTCATCTCTTCACCTGTATAGAAATGCAGTGGGTACTGTTCAAGTCTTTGTTCTTTTGGAGCCCAAATTTCGTTTTTTTGTGGTATTTTATTTATTATATCCTGTTGCTAGCGAACATAGAGGAGTTCTGAAGGTGTTGTACGCCTTGACTTACCTTCCGCTGATGTTTGTAAGTCTTCTCAGTGTGTTTATCGATTGTCTTTCTATTTTGTTGTGTTTGAATTATATGGAAAAAACGGACCGTGGAACAATTAGAAAGGATTTTAAATAATGGCAAGTGAAGTGACCTTTCCACATACGTTTGAGGAGTGTGGTGGCAGTTCTGTGCAAAAATACTAAGCAGTGCAGTATTTCTACAGAGTGCAGCGTGATTGAATTTGAAGGGACCATCTGAATTCTGGAGTTTCATAAGTTGTGACTGCTTATGTTGTTCTCTGCGTGATACAGAATTTAAAGATTTCTGTTAAGGCCTCTATGACTAAAGCAGTACTCTGACTGCAGAATCCGTGCGGCTTCTGTGAAACTGCTCCATTTTTGTTTTGTTTGAGTAGCAGGTTCCTGTGTGGTTAACGTTTCCAGTGTGCGTTTTTAATGATTTAATTAAATAAGGTTATGCACACTGAATTTCTCTTGGGATTGAGACCCTAGCGTTCGCATCTTTTATACCTTGTTTAAACTAGAAAAAAGTGTTTCCTCCAACAGATCACTTAATCCAGGCTGCAGCCATCCCTGACAGCTTTAAGCTGAAGTGAGTATTGGCTGCCGCTGATAAATGAGGACCTGGTAACACCAAAGATTTTCATGCCTTGAGCCAGATAAGAAAATACACCTGGCTAAAAACAGAAAAAAAATCTAATGACGTACCTTCAGCAGGGTTCTTCCTCAGATTGCTTCAAAGTGACTGTGGAACCCTTGGTCAAAAACCTTGTTTTTGCTGAAAATAAGACTCAGCTTAATGCTTCTGCCTAAATTTTCAACAGTTCAATTTATTACCCAGAGCAGCACCCTAGATTAGCAGCTTAGTTGTAATAAAATTAATGACACTTTATTGTGAAGCCTTCCGTTCTTTCCTTGTTGTGTACAATGTCTGGCCAGATGATGTGCAGAGAACTGTTTCACCGTACAGATTTGGTAACCTCTGCGGGGGAGCGTCTCGTGACGGAGAGTGCCGTTCTGGTAGCTGACGGGAAGGATCAAGCTGCGGCTTTGACAGTTAATTTTTATTGCTTTGCTCCCTTGTGCATTAAGCAGTCAAGGCACCACAGCCTGCCAGTAGCTGTTTAATATTAGTTATGCTCATAAAAATTTTAATTATCACCTTTGAATGAAGTTTAATCTACAGTTGTCAGAAAATATGAAACACATGGCACTAGAACGTAAATTATATCCCTCTTGACAATGTTTCCTTTCAAATAAGGAAAACTGAATTCTGCACGTTCGGTCAAGGGCAGCAGAATATTCTTCCCCCATCAAAACAAAACGGGGTTAGAAAGAATGCGGGCTTGGTGAGGTTGGCAGTCTCTTCTATGGCAACTGAAAACTGCAGACTAAGTCAGATGCTGATGTATAAACAAGAAACTTTGCACAGCAAAAATGCAACAGTCAAAACGAAAGAAGTATGTCTTAATGTGCTGGCTTGGTAGAAAAACTCGTGTCATTTGTCTTCAGTAATATGGATTGTGGAGAACACGTGCTTGTTTGCTTGATGGAAAACTGGGTTTGTAGGCGTAGTAGGTTTGCCTGTTTGCATGATGTGTGTTTTCTGAAGTGGTAGTCCAGGCTGTTCCCTGAATGTCTCTTGGCTGATGTTACACTAATACTTCTCTTAGAAGGCTCATGAAGACCTAACTTTCTTCTCTCTGCCTGCCATGCAACAGCCATTATTGGGGTTTTGGTTGGTTTTGGTGCGTTGCCAGTGGCCGCTGCAGGGAGGTGTGTCTGCGGGAGGGCAGAGCACGTACGCACATTGGTGCTGCCTTCACTTTCCCTCTACCCTTCGTGATGCTGACGTGGGGGCCAGTAAGTGCTGGAGCCGCTTTCGCCGTTGTAATCACATTCTCAGAAACCCGTGAGGCAGAAATCTCATAACTTCATCTCTTTTTCAGTTAAGGCGGTTGTGTACCCCAGTGCCCTGTGTTGCCTTCAGTTTGGATTTACACTCTCCAGGTTAGACCCTGCCCAGCCTGCAGCATCGCTGCCCTTGCCATCTGTGGCAGTAGGCACTGCCTGTTGAGCTTGGGAGCGAGCCAGTGTCGTCACCTCAGATCTGAAGTGAAGGGGGACACGCAGAAGCTCAACGAGTCAGCTGTCTCCAGTCATCTCTCGCATGAAGCGAAGACTATGACTGCCAAGGATGACCAGAGTCATTTTCAGCAAACATCAGTGAGCGGGTAGACTACCTTGGAGTCAGACAGTGGCTTGAGAGCAAGAACGAAGATGCTACTGAAGTCACTACCGTTGTGTGCTGGTTCTAACCCGTGCGGGTTGTTGTGTAGGTCAGCCTACTACAACCAGCGGGTTGCTGTCACCAGGGCGGGGTTATCTCACAAGACAGAGCGTGCACATCTTCGTCAGCTCAGACAGCTTATCAGAGGCAGGTGGAAGCGGGAGGCAGTCCTGACCCTGCTCTGTGGTCCATCCTCACTTGCTTAGTCGGGCCTCCTTTGCACTGCAAAATTATCTCAGAGAATTTTCCAACTCCTGAGTGGCTCCAGGAGAAACAGAGAAAACGTACTTCAATTCCGTCTGTCCTCAGAGTGTAGCGTAGCGTTAGGACAGGCAGTTCATTGTCCAACAAAACGTTGACTGTACCTGATGCTGCTTACTGGATTTCACTGAAGATGCTAGCTGTTCTCTCTGAAATCAGTTCATTTTTCAGCCAAATGGTTAAAAGGTTGGAAGATGTCACAGCATTTTTCAGCCATGGTTTGACTGATCTGATAATGAAACCACAAGCACTCAGATTTTCTGACAGAAGTCAATTAGGAGTGTACTGGGGACAGGTTGGCAGTACTTGCTGAAGCCATTATTCCAGGAACCTCGGTCTGTCTCAGCTTGTTTTATGCAGATAAACATTTTATATTTCAAAGCTGCTGCTGAATCAGTCTCCTGGACAACACAGCAGCCAAGTTGGGCCCTCTCCTTGCCCACCTGCTTTGAAGCCGTTCTGCTCTGCAGTTGCTGTCACTAGAATGAGATGCTGCTGACGGCCTTTTTCATCTAGGGGTTTGCCAGCGAATCAGTAATTGAGCCTGGCTGTTCCTTGCTTGGTTCCTCGTCCAAGGTGAGATTCTTTCCATGTGGATTCCCTGTGGTAGATGTGTTGTGCAAGATGGACGATTGCAAGCAACTAAGTTTTGTTCCAGGTGAGCTTGGAACCCAAGGCTGCTGCTGGACAATTTCTTTCTACAGTATTGAGAGCTATGGTTATTGCATTACAGGCAACTGTTCTGTCTTTAATTATCAAAAAGTTAACAAACTGTCTAACGCTAATTCATTTTGTGCTAAAGAGTTAGGAGTAGAGAACGTCTTGCTAAACACTTTAAATTTTCCCATTTTGGAAGATAATAATATGTTGCCTTCAGGGAATAGTGGAAGTAGAGCTACATACTGGAAAAGAGATGATTCGCCGTAAAATTTTAGGGAGGCTGTTTCGATGGAAAGGGCTGGAACATTGGCTTGACTTCGCTGCGTTGTGCAGAAACTTCTTCTCTGTGTGTAAGTATGGCCACTGTGCTGCTAGACAGTGGAGAAAAGTGAACCCAGAATTGTCGTCGGCAGCCTGCTGGTGTGGCTTTGCAATTCTCTTTTGGGTTTCGGATTGGGTTAAAAACTTTGCACCCAGCAGCTGTAGTTTTGTATGCAACTGCCTAACTGCTAGATGGTAACTCCCAGGGACAGCATGCTCTGCGAAAGTTTCAGAGAAGCTGATGGAATTTTCTGTGACAAAGTACCACAAAGATTTGCATTTCGTTCCTTGGCAGTGTACTGAGTATACTGATTAGACTAGAACAGTAAAAAAATCTGTGATGGTTCTATTCTGTCAAGTGATGCAAGGAAATATACTGAATAATGTTTATTAGGAAGTTTCTCAGGGAAGAAATACTGCTGTTTGATAAAATAGGTGTATATTGACTAATGCTTCATAATTACAGTGGTAACTACTAAGAACTCGTGTATACAGAGTGGGCTGGTTATCTTCTTCTGGCATCTTGTGCCTGTTTTTTAAATGAATGCTTTATTTTTTCCTTACAGGTGGCAGTGTGCTGTATTTGTTTCTTTGTCATTCTTCCATTGAACCTCGTTGGTACCATTCTTGGCCGAAATCTGTCAGGACAGCCGAATTTTCCATGTCGTGTCAATGCAGTGCCTCGTCCCATACCAGAGAAAAAATGGTAAAGACAGGCATGCATGTGAACGGGATGTATTCGCTTCAGTACCTCTAAAATGACTTTTTGTGATCGCTGAAAGTTTTTTGAAGAATAACTTTTAGGGGTTAAATTGAGTCGTGTCCAGGAGAGCACCTCTACTGGCATTTCTTTAATATGATTTTTCTGTTGAATAAAAGCACCAAGTGCAGTTAATCGTTAATAGCTGTAGCAGATCTTACAGTCCTGGGTCACTGATTCGCATTTGGCCTGAAGTGCTCTTCAGTCTCTTCCGTAGAAAGGATGGTCCCAACCCTGTTTTTGTGTGGGTATCCTGAAACGAAACCTTTCCCCTTTAGTTAATGCCTCTCACAGACTTAGGATTGAAGGTGCCACGGAGGCAGAACGCTGTTCTGTTTCGTGGTCTCCACGTACAAGCTGAGACATGTTTGCAGGGTGGCGGTGGGGAGAAGCTTGCAGTGCTGTTCCCAACTCTGCACTTTTGTTGGTGGCATGGAGCCTAAAATACTCCAGCTGTACAGTTGGAATTGTGAATAAACCTTTATTATTTTTGAAGTGAGTACAAAGGGGTGGGTGCCCAGTCTCGAAAAGTAGACTGGAGTTTTTGGAAAATCATAAATGCAGTCGCTTTCTTATTAATTTAGTTCTGAGATGGAAGCAGCAAGCTATGGAAATGAAAATATCCTCAGAGGATTTTTTTAATAGATTTTTCTTGCTTTCCCTGCTCAGAGGAATGGAACAGACAAGCGAAGGGGGCACTGAAACGTGGATGCCCACGATATCTGGGAAGTGCAGCACACTTAGTCTCTTGTTAGTGGCGGTTGTGCAGCTCAGGTGCTAGGATTTGATTTATATTGTGACCTGTGTCTTGGGAATCTGGTGGATTTTTCTGGATCAGCATGACAGACAAAAAGAAATGAGATACTTCTCTTGAAGGTGATGAAATTGCACACTGGCAGCTTAGACAAGTCTCCCTATGAATAATAGAAGAAGCTGCAGATTAAATCGCTGGTTACTAGCTAGATTCAGCATCATTGCAAGTACTACACAGGTCACCTTTAGTAAGTGGCAGTATCATCTCCAGGTAGCCAAGTATTCATTTTTGGCCATAAGCTCATGACTCAGTATTGCATTAAAAATGGACTCTGGTTCTGAATTATAGAACCGTCGCCTTGCAGAAGTTTCTCTGCGCTTTTTGCTGTGTTTGTAGCCGTCAGCAGTGCTGAGTGTTCGCTGCCTTCATTCAGGGCTAGTGGACGTTGTGGGGCTTGATTGCTTCAGCCCTGTTTGGGCAAGAGAGATGCTCTGCAGCCTTTAAGGCTGGCTAGATGCCGAACCGCATGCCGGTAGGTGACAGGCAGGAGACTTGTATTTTGTTTCAGCTTTCCCCAAGAATAACTCCTCCTGCTATCCATGCACGTGACGTCTTTGGGGGAGTCTTCTTTCTAACGTGCTGGAATGAGACAGAGATGTTCTCGTTAGCATGCCTTTTAAATAATTCTCTGTGCTATACTAGTTACCTGATTGTATGCCTCAATGTGCTTGTAAATGAAGGATTAAAATTGTCCCTGAAATAATCTCAATATCTTTCAGGTTCATGGAGCCAGCTGTTATTGTTTGCCTAGGTGGAATCCTCCCTTTTGGATCAATTTTTATTGAAATGTGAGTGTGTCAGCTGTTTGCCGATTTGCTTAAAAAGTACAATAATTCAAGTTCAGTTACAATATCATCTGCATATTTTGTTTACTCTCTTCAGGTATTTCATTTTTACTTCATTCTGGGCTTACAAGATCTACTATGTTTATGGCTTTATGATGTTGGTTCTGGTTATCCTCTGCATTGTGACAGTTTGTGTGACTATCGTTTGTACGTATTTCCTGCTAAACGCAGAGGATTACAGGTGGTAAGCATTGCGTTCTTCGCATAGTTAACCAGATTCAGAGAGTTCTAGAGCAAGGAAATGTTCTCCAGTCTAGATGGGTCTTTTCAAAGTGTCCCACGTCCAGCTTCTAGCTGTGGGGAAGAAGAGCAGCTCGTGGATCCTTTCTGTGCAGGAGCTTTCTGTATCTGTGTGCATCTGTGTGTGCATGTACCTATGTGTAAAAAAAAATCATGTCCAGGCACACAGGGATGTGAAGAAGGACGATCACATGTTGTCAGTGTTAGCTGTTGCCGTAGAAACTTTTGTCACTTCTAGCAGACAACATGTAGATTTTGTTAAATAAGCCCGTAGAACCAGTACGCTTTATTTTCAGGGTAAGCTTTTAGTGCATTGTGCATCTTCTTGGGCAGCCTTTTGGTTAGACGTGTGATGGACATGCGTGTTTACTTGCAGGCAATGGACAAGCTTTCTTTCTGCGGCGTCAACTGCGATTTATGTTTACATGTACTCCTTTTACTACTACTTTTTCAAGACAAAGTAAGTGGTAGTTTTCTTGCTTGAATATCAGATGACCATATTGCCAGATAAGTTTATTGAGAAAATAAACTGGGAAAGATACCTAGCATAAATTCCTGTCTTTCTTTTTCAGGATGTATGGCTTGTTTCAAACATCATTTTACTTTGGTTATATGGCAGTATTTAGCACAGCTTTGGGAATAATGTGTGGTAAGTTTCAAATATATTGACAGTTTTCTCTTGGGTTATGTCTGACTCTCATGTTTCTGATTTTAACTCTGTGGTTTTGGTGGTGGAGTGTGTATGGTTGCAAGATGTGCTCAAAAAAGCTTACAATCTAAAAAGAATCTTGGAGGTCTCAGATTATCTTCCTAGCAGAAGACACTATCCACAGAAATCTCCTACATTAGGTAGGAACCAAGTATAAGCAATGTGCTGTGCAGAATTTCACCCTCAGTGCAAGCTTGAAAGACTCAATATTTGGCAAGAAACTATGCAAAATAAATTCCAAATGAAGTGGAATTTAACTAATAAACAAATGAATTCCATGCTAGCACTTTGTTTTGGAGTTTTTGCTGTTGCTCCAAGACAAGGAGCTAGGCACACCCACTGAGGCATCAGCGGTGTGGCAGTACTGGTGACGCTACCTCCTGTGTCTTGTGGCATCTATATATGAGGGTGACCAGAACAGGCAGGACTGGCAGTTCAGGGCAGCGTTTGAGAAGTCAGTATCGGAACATTCACAGGTGAGGAGGGTGCACAGTCCCCCTGTGTGCAGATGGATTTCGTTGCTTTTTGAAGATACTGTTTTGACAGATGTTTAGAAAAAGACACAGTTCTCGGCGTGGAGGTCATCTGGTAAAGTCAAATATACTTGCTCACCTGTTAACTTTATTTTTAACCTTCGCTGTATGAGTTTCAGAAAGTGCTACTTGGTTCTTTTGTGCTTTCCTGTGATGTTGTTTGCTTTTTATGTCTGATCCCTGTTTAATACTTTCCTTCTTAGTAGTGAATTAATAGTCCCGTAGACTCTGGTGGAAGGATTTCTTTAAGTTAGGTATTGGAGACGCGTGATGTCTTACAGGAACTCACTTTCTGTAAAGTATACATTTCTGGATATCCCAAGAGAGTGGGTGATTCCATAGTGCTTTATAAGGCAGGGGGGGACATCATCTCTTAACTGCTGAGTACCTGTTCCCCTTTTCTCTCATACAATCTAATCTTGCTTCATCAGGTTCTTGGCACATTACAAGGCTTCCCTGCTGTTCTGGTAGTCTTCCAGCCATTTTTTTTTCTTTAATAGGCTTATACTTTTCAGCTCTAATCTTTTCTCTTTAAAGTGCTCGGGCTGGTATTGATTAAAATGTCTATGATGCAGAAGCCAAGCTTGCCCACCAGCTTCTGTAATTAAAATGTTTTTTAAAACATGGAAGAGGAAGATTGCCAAGTGCTTGTGTGTCATGGTAGGACACTACTTGATGGAATATAAGAGTAAAATCCAAATTTATTCCAAACCAGAAAACACTTTAACACATGAAACTTTATTTCTGTGGCTCTATTGAGATTTCTTTTTGTCTTTTTAAGTGCGTTGGAAAAGAAGCTGTGAGATTCCTTTTTACTGAGAGCTCCCATTTTCAGCGTGTGGAGGGAACTAAAAAAAAATCCCCCATCAAAAAGTATTTGTCTACGGAACTTGCTGCCGTTGAGGTCTAACAAAGACATTTGTGTTAAAAAATTGTGCCAGGTGCGTGCTACCAACTACGTCTGCTGTGAAGAGTACGTGGGGCTGTGCCTTGGAGGCTCGCACGCATGGGCGTGCTCAGCATCACACGACTGGGTGTGAGACCAACTAGTTAGGGTCCAAAGCAGCTGCAGGGAAGCTCTCTTGTATCCTCCAGCTCTGGTTTTAGTGCCCCGACAATGCCCAGCGAGCTCAAATCCCACATGTCGTGGGGTGCTTTCATCCGCAGAGCCTGCTGCCCGCTGCAGAGCATCGCGCTTCTGGGACTGGACAGTAGGGAGCCCGTGAGAGCTTCCAGACCTTTTGAGCGCCTTGTGATTCCCCCTCAGTGACTGAAAAGAATAAATCTTCTTCCCCAGCTCAGCGGATGGCTTGGGAGCTGGGTAGCATAGAAAGGCCTCTTGCAATGCGACACTGCAGCATCCAGAGAAGTACTGGAAGTATGGCTGAAAGGCTTTTAAAAAAGAATTCTGTCCTTACAAAGTCACAACCGTAGTAAGTGTTAATTGGTTTGAAGGAATAGATAGGACTGAATCTTCTTCTGTTTTGTGGTTGCTCTTCCCCACTATTTGGATTTTTTTCTTTTTTTTTTTTTTTTTTCTTTTGTTTAAAGCTTGTTGTTCTGCTGAAGTATGCTTGCGGTCTGTTTCTGCTAAACCTGTATTGGCCATAGCCAAGTTACAAGTGTCATCTGATCAGGTGTTTAATAAATAAATGAAGTCATGCCCGTTCCTATGGATGCTTTATTCAAAGGAGACCAGTGTCCTGCATGTGTTCCAGGAGGACGTTCTTCAGCTTCCCCCTCCTCACCCCAGGTTCTGTTCAATGCCTGTGGAGCAGCCGTGAGGCTCAACCCCTGCCATGGGCCCGGGCTGTCAGAGCCCTGCCTGGGCACGGCTCCCATGGTCCAGAAGAGGTTGTGGTCTGTTCATGGAGGTGGGAGCTTCTGCTCGCTTGCGACTGCTGCTCTGCTCCTCCCGCTCGCTTCCATCCCATGCACATGCTCTCTAGATCGCAAAGGAAACACAGTTAATGCTTCGTTCTCCCAGATCCCTGTGACACCTGGCATCCCATCACTAGAGGAACCCTGCAAGAACAGGTTCTGGAGTGTGTCTGAGTTCAGCAACTGAAACGGGCATTGGATCTGTCGGCAGTGTCTGCTTTCACAGGCATAGCAAGAGGAGTCTTAGGAGTCCAGCGCCATTATTTTGTCCACTTATTGCGTAAGACAGAAGTTTCCGGACAGGCTACGGAAGAGTCTGCGTGTGCTCCCGTTGCCTCCTGCGCCCGGGTCTGTCCGCACGCTGTGCTGGGCTCGCCTGGACGGCCGGGCCCTCCCTCTGCCATGTCCTCAGCGCGCTGCGCGCCTGCAGGCAGCACCCTGGGCCGCTGTGTGCTCTGCCTCTTTCAGTCGTGCTCTACTGTGTCCAGGGTGGCAATGCAGACCCCTCGCTCGCTGGCCAGTGGAAGGGTTGTCGGGGTGTTTATACAGCTCGAAGTGCGGTGCAGCGCAGAGGCTGGCTCCACAGGCCCTGTGCCACTCCGGTGATGGCGTGGGAATGATGCAGCAGGGTTGCCTTGTGCGGATTTCCTGGTTAGAGACGAGTGTTGGGCTTTCGGGGCTCTCAAACCCAAAATCTGGTGAGAGTTTAGTGGCTGATCTCATCAACTGTCCGGTCAGTCCCCAGGATTTAAAGAGCTCTCTGGGTTCTGAATAACTCCGTGGCCACCAAGGCTAGCTGCAGGTCTGTAAGGCCTTAATTTCCATAGGCAAAAAACCCTTTAGGAAAATGAAGTTTTGGCAGAATACTTTCAGCATGGATTAGGCTTTTGTATTGAGCGCATCTTGTGCAAGTCTGGTGCATCCCAGATCACCGAAAATACTGTTTCGTGCTTTTTTCTGGGCTTTTCTGTATTGCTTTAGGGAAGCAAAAATACCGTTTCTGTTTAGAGTCCGTTCCTTACTGAGCATCCAGACATTTGAGGTTAGGAGTTCTCTGTAGTGAGGTACAAGCCCTGACTTCTCTGTCCTGTTCTTCCCATGTTTTGTGGTGTGTCCTGCTGGCAGTCTGACAGCAGTTGTCTCTAATTCTTGCTTGATCTTCAGCTTCACTTCTAATCCGAGAATTAGCCACGCTCCCTTCCACGAGGCTGCTTTGCTCTCGTTTTGCGTGGAAGAGATGAGGATACTCCCTGTGGACGTTGTAAGAGAACAGTGTTTACCGAGCCTGGCAGACCGCGGTTCTGGGTTTGAGCAGCTGAATCTCCTTCTGAGAAGAGGTCTTGGTCCGGTGCATTTCTTTCATTTTTTACGTGTCCCGAGTCCTGCAGTATTTTGGGTTTAGCATAAACTGTTGCCCCTATCAGAAACCCAGTGACCTGTTCTGTTACTGCTGCTGCAACAATGCATACTCCGCTCATGACTCTTACTAATTTGAAAACCACAGGTTGCAGTTTCCTTTAGCTACGAACTGCTACTAGTTTAATCTCTTCGTACAGACCTCCGTGGAGTTTCAGGCTCCTGGGATGGGGATTTATTGTTATTTGTGCCTTGTGGGAAGGAAAAAGCCATCTGCCAATAAAACACTCATCCAGAAGGCATGTAACGTCTAATAAGCCCCTGCTCTCCCATCCACCTTCCCTGCAGAGTGGGCGATTGTGTGGTTCTTACCCTCTGTTCAGAAAGAGGGACCCAGTTATTGGCAGCGGTAGGGGGGCTGCTATATTTATCGAGGCCAAGTGAGCGTGGCCTCTTGGTAAGATGGCTTAATGGATTTAGATTGCTAGACCAGGGGAGCTCTTGCCAGACGTTTGCTGGGAGCAGCGATAATTAGAGCTTGCGAACGAGTGCTGCAGGTAAATAATTTTCTGTGTGCGGAGTGCCTGCTTTGTGTGACTGTCTCTGCTGAAGTGTTTCTCTGTTGAAGTTTTACGTTGCTGCCCGGTTTTGGCGATCAGCTCGCTAACGCGTTCAACGCTTCTCGGTTTATTTTGCAGGAGCTATTGGTTACATGGGAACAAGTGCCTTTGTTCGTAAAATCTACACGAATGTGAAAATTGACTAAGGAAATAAGAAAACTGAACTCTGGATCACCTCCTGTTTTCATGGGGATGAACTTGCACAACAAAAAGCGCGAGAAGAGATTTGGGTTTTAACACTGGGCACTGTATGGGTCTCCATTTTGTGGATGGCTTAAAGTAACATCTATTTCATTGATCCTAGGTTCTTACTGACTGCTTTCTCCAACTGTTCACAGCAAATGCTTGGATTATATGCAGTAGGCATTACTAGAGTACGTGGCTAATCTTCCCCCCCTCCAAAAAAAAAAACCAACAAAAACAAAAAGCCTAGCTCATTAAAGATGAATAGACTAGCTCTCTTCAGTGAAGAGGACAAACGGTTTATTTAAAGCATTTGTTCCATTCAGTAAAAAGAGGGAAACTTGGCTGCTAAAACTGCTTGATTAGTAGTCTTCCTGGTACTCAACATTTCAGAATTATGTAAAAATGCCGTTCCAGAAAGATTACTCTTCTGATTTTTACTGCCATTGCCAGGAGAGGAGGTGTGTTTTATATTTTGACTCCAGGTGCTTTTTGGTTTATTTGCGATATCAACTATACCCTACACTCATTTGTTTAAAAAATAATTTTAAAATAGATAAAAACCCCGTATGCATGTAATATATCAGCTGTTGTTCTAGTTGGACCAACTTCCCTTTATTTATCTTTAAAGTAATATCCAGCTACATCTTAAATCCATCCAAAGAAAATACAGGCTGAAGACGGGATGTGTTCTCTGCAATGCAATTTACTGTACAGTTAGAAAGCGAAATGTTAAATGAGGAGGATTGTTTGTTTTTTAATAAACAATTTGAGGTCTAGATTAAAACAAAACCAACGTTTTAACTGAATGTCTAAAGTGATTCTCCTTTTTCCCAAAGTGCTTTTTTTTTTTTTTTTTTTTTTTGTGGTTTGGGTTTGAATGAAGATTTTCCTTTAGATAATATACGAGGGGTAATAAGTGTATATAACATTAAATAATGTAACTTAGGTGTAGATCCCAAATGTATTTGGATGTACAGATTTACTACAGAGTACTTTTCTGATGATCCGGTGTAAAAATGTGTGAACTTGGGTGGCTTTTTACATCTTGCCTGCCATTGCATGAAAAGGTGGGGTTTCTTCACAGTGTGTGTATGTCATGCTTTTCTCTTCTCTTTCCTTTCTCAAGCTCTCACAGGAATTAAATTTGTAATTTAGAACATTTAAATTTTTGTTAATCCTATCTGGACACTTGTGTAACATCCAAAGCACAGTTGCTTTAGAGTGTTCAGAAAATGAAAATAAACTTTTCAGACAAAAAATGTTCCGATTGTGAAAATAGATGGGTTTGCAGTCGCAGATGTTGGAGGAGGCAATACTGCTGGACGCCGGTTTCCGTCTGCAGTATTGGAGTGGTTTCCGAATACCGAAACCCCGTGCTTTGAATTCAGAATTTGCTGACGACTCTGTTGTCCAGTACAGCTCCAGAGTGGGTGAGCAGCCCGAGAAGATGCTGCTTGGCTGGACCGTGTGTGGAGGAGCTTGCTGTGTGATCCAGGCAGTGGGCCGAGAAAGGGAGGCGTCAGCGCGGGCCGAAATAAACGGGCCACTAAAGGTGAAGTCTTTCTAAGACGACTGGTAATTACGCACTGTGTTTAGCTGGAAATACCTGGAATGTGTTTGTGGCAGATCTGAGAGCCGATCGGCTTGGGGCTTTTTGTATATTTTGGCATCCTCCAGATGGGGATGTTTTCATCAGCGTCGCTGTCGGACACAGAGCACCTGCCGCGGCGAAGGCAGCTTTCTGAACTGGAAAAAACGAGCAGAGTCTTTGCGTCGATGAGCTCCGTATTGCCTCCGTCTGAAAAGCGCGGGCCGCGCAGTAGCCACAGCAGGGAAGGACCGGGCTTTGGCAGGCCGGGGTCCGCTGCGGCAGGCGGTGGCGGAGAGCAGCAGCGCATCCTGCTGTGTGCACCTTCGGGGGAGGATCTGAGCTGTCGGCTCTGCTTTCCCTGGCCCTTTTTAACCGATCTGCCAGAAAATAATGAAGTTCTGCTTCAGGTGGATGGCTGGTGTCTGTAGCTGAATGCTCTGCTCTTGAAGAGAAGATAGTTCTCTTTTTTTGAAGTACAGGCTGATTTTTAAGGTGAGCTTACAAACTGGGTCAACAGTCAGTTTTCCTTTGTCCCAGAACGCGGAGACTTAAGGCCAAGAATGGGTTTTGTGCCAGTTCTTGCTAGCGTGTACAGCTGTGGGAAGCCCTCTTTTCACCCAGGTTCTTCTAAATCTGAAGGGAGAAGCCATTAACTGCACAAAATAAATACACCAAGTACTCCGCGGAGATACAAGTTTTTTGAAGGGAATATTTTGATAATGGGTCTGTTTGTTTAGAGCACTGCTGCGTGATTAGTCCATCAGAAATGTCACTAAACCGTGTTTGAATTTCATTTAATCACTTGTTAATGCCACGGGGCGGTGGGCTGCCTACTTGCTTTGTTTACGGCACACGTTCTGTGATACGGCATTGGGGGGGGGGGGGATGGGAGGGCCCAGTGGAAGGTTTGGGGCAGTTCCATTTGAAGCAGTTCTTGGAGAGAAATATTTTAAAGGGCAGAAACTCGGCTGGGAAAAGGGTGAGAAAAAGTTGCTTCATCTGGTGGGGTAATCTGTTTCGGGGGTGGGCCTATGGAGACAGACTTGCTGCTGGGGCATCGTTTGCCCCCACCCCGTACCAGCTCCGGGCTGGTGGTTCCCATCAGTGGGTCCGTCATGGCGCGAAGGAGGGGACGGCGGCTGCTCCCTGTGGTAATTCTCTCGCCAGCTCCTGGTGATACAACACAGAGCAGTAGCGATGAGCAACTTTGGAGGTTCTGCTGTGCTGAGGCTTCGTTTCTGACGAGAAACACACCCCCAGGAACTTCCCAGACGTTCTGGACAGAAGATCTCCTTGAAGACCTCGTGCTTGGAGCGTTCCAGAACACGATGCCGGCCCGTACTGATCCTTCAGCTGGTGCGGCAGCGCGCCGGAAAACACACGCGTCTTTCTGAAGGCTGCACACCGCAAGCTTCTACTCAGTTTCTGAGGAGTCTGGAGAGCTGTAGTGACTGTTTCTGAGAAGCTTCCAAACGTGGCTGAGAACGTCGCACGACGCTGAACTCAGGGAAGCCTTTGTGGCCGCTCGTTCTCGTTTCCCAAAGGTTTGTATCCAGAATTTCGGCGTCGTGTGGTGTAGTGAAGCGCGAGACAAGGCATCATGCTGGCTTGCTGGGCTGCTAGCGACGCAGTTGCTCCTTTGGAGTTCATTTTCTGCCACTTTGTCACTCCGAATCACTGGTCCTGGCTTAGCCATGTCACTTTATTGGGCTGAGAAAGGTGGATCATGACACTAGCTTAGTGTGAAGCTTTTCTTTGCCACAGAGGAGTAGCTACAAGGATGGGCTGGAAATTTTCTCCCTGTTTCCCTGCCAACGCCTGGCCAGAAGCTGGCGGGTGAACTGGTGGACGTCGCCTGCTGTTGGCTTTAAAGAGAGACCTGCAGCTTTACGGAGACAGATGCCCGTTTACCTGCTAGAACTGGAGCCTTTGGTACCACAACGCTGAAGAGAGGTGATTATGTTACTGAAGTTCTGCACTTGGACTCTACGGAGTCATTCTGAGCAATCTGAATTGCTTAGCCGAAAGCTGATTTCTGTTGAGAATTGTTTTTTTTCCCCTGTTTCTCTCGCTGGCAGAAAGTGATCCAACGCCAGCCTTGGGCTGAATCGGAAATGTGCCACATGTTTTTTATCATAGGAAATAAAAGATGAAACAGGAATCGCTGCTCCTGGGTGTAGCGATCCAGAGGGTGACGCGTGAGGCGAAGCTCTTTCAAAGCGCTGTGCGCCTGAGGAGAGGAGATACCTGCCGCAGCCGGGAGTGGGCTTTGGGCATGGGTGTTACTACGGATAAATCCAGCTACAGAAATCCTGTGCAGAAACTGGCACCGGGGAGCTTCTCTAAGGCACCTCTCCGTGAAGCAGCATCTCTGCTTTTTGGAAAGGTTCGTTAAATCCTGCCCGCTATGGCGAAGCAGCCAAAATTTGGGTAGTGTGCGCTGCCAGCCTGGAAAAGATACCCGCGGGTGGACAGGTCAGTGCAGCGATCCCTCGTAGTGTCCCTCGATTCACCTAGCATAGGCTCGGAGAAACGTTTTTGCTTTCCCAGATCCATCCCTTTGGGGAAAGAGGAAAAAAATTATTTACGGCAGATTTTTTTTCCTATGGCAAAACCCAGTTTGAGTGGATTCTCCTTCTCTGGAGATACTCAAGAGCCGCCTGGACGCAGTGCTGTGCAGCCTGCTCTGGGTGACCCTGCTTGGGCAGGGGGTTGGGCTGGGTGACCCACAGAGGTCCCTTCCAACCCCGACCATTCTGTGACTCTGTGAAAGGCCAGTGGATTCGCCTTCCCGGATTTTGAACTGACAGAAGCTTTTCCGAAGGTGTTGCCGTGCCCTCCTGCGTAACAGGGATCGCTGAGGCCACCAGCTTTGCTCAGTGCTTTCCAAGCACAACTGGCTCCAGTCAGACCCTGAAAATGGATATGAAGCGAAGCAGTGAAACATCGGTTTGACGCACCACAGTTTGGGAGCCAGTGGTCCAGCCAAAGTTCCTCCTTCCCGAGAAGAGAGACTTCTCCTCTCCCTGCCTCCCACAGCCTGTCTCCCACTGCGGCTTGGAGGTGCCCCAGGGGCAGCTCCATGTTCCTCACGTGGTCCCAGGGTTGCAGTAAAGATGGGGACAATGTCTGGCGCTTCTTTAGGCGGGATGACTTAAAATCCTGTCTGCTGCTGCTGCTGCTTTGGTGAACAAAAAGGACTTTTCGACCCGTGAGTTGGTTACTCCCGGCTTCCCGACGTGTCGCTGCTTGGGTGCTAACGTTGTTTGATGTACGCTGAGCTGTTAATGCACGTGGTGGGCGCACTGTACGGCTCCTGTCGGAACCCTCCGAGCACGCTGAAGCCCGTCTGCGTCAGCACCTGTGAAGATTCCTGTCGGGCGGCAAATCGTTTAGCCGTACCAGAGGTGCTGCAGGAGGAGCCGAGATGGGGGGCGGAGGGGAGAGAGAGCGGGGGTCCATACGAGCTTTATCCCCTGGAGTCATCCGTGGCAGCGGTGAAGCCGGTGGAGGAGCACGGCACGTCCTTCCTACCAAAAAGGGAGCAAAGAAGGAAGCCTGAGCAGCAGTGAGGGGTGCTGGAAACACCGAGGGAAGAGGAAGGAGAACGCTCTGGGCTCCGAGGGATGTGCTCCTGCTCTCCGGGGCTCCGTCTGCCCTTGTAGCGATGTACACGGAGGAAGGAGCATCTCGGCACGTTTGGGGAAGGAAATCTCTGCTCGTAAACCCGGGACAGCTGGGGAGTCGGCGGTGGGACAGGCTCCGAGGGAGCGGGACCTCAGCCGCTTCGTGGGAGGCTTTGATGGACCCAGGCGTTGGCGAGAGGGAGGACACGGGTCTGGTGGAGGAACTAAGAAACTGGTGTGCGTGTGTTCGGGCCGTGGGACGTAGTGTGTGCAGGGATGTTCCGTCAGCTTTGCTCGTGGGTGCTGCTCGGCAGGAGCTGTGTGCGGCGGTGAAGAGACGGTGGGTTTTGTTTGCGTGTGCTGGGCGGCAGGGGGGGTGGATCCCGGAAAGGGAAAGCCTGGACAGAAGCTGTTTTGCTTTCAGAGAGCAAACTGTTGGGTGTCACGGGTTGCACTGCCGGTGTGAAGCCTCGCACCAACACCGCAGAACCCGTCCCGCTGGGTTTGGAACGGGGAGGTGTGACGGAGCAAGCTGGTCCTTGATTCTGCCCCAACCGCCCGCAGCAGCCGGTCCATGCTGCCGCCCCGACCCTGCCTTCAGCCTGGCACGTCAGCAGTTCTGGCAGGCGCTGAGCAGAAGACACGCCGCGTCTCCTCCGCTTTGTGCTTCCGGGCAGGTCCTGGAGGATCAGAGGAGCAACCTGAAGGGCAAGGATCAGCGGGTGGCGGGGTCCAGGTCACCCCGAGGGAGAGTCCCAGGCTGCTCCGGGGGCTGTCACTCGCAGGGCAGGAGGAGGAAACACGCGTGGGAAGGGTCTCAGGTTTTCACTAGGAGAAACGCCCTTTTGCTGTACCCATCTTGGCAAGATGAGGAGAGAACAGGAATCACAAGAACACGTTTCGGTAGACGAGGCAAGGCCGTGACCAGGACTTGCTGCTCATGCTGGGCAGCAACCCAGCCTGGCCTGAGGATGCTCTTCTTGGCGGGAGGCTGCCAGGGACTTCACACCTCTGGAGGACCTGAGCTGAGACCTGCATGGAGGGCAGGGGAAAAGGCAGAGGCCCTCTCCAGACACGTAAAGGAAGAATAAGCATCAGCTGGAGCAAGGAAGGCTGATGTTTCAGGGAAGCTTTGTAGCAGTAAAACAGGGAAGCCCTAGAGCAGATAGCCATGAAGAACCGAGGGAGTTTCCATCACCGTAGGTTTTTGAAG